TCTTCCCCATAGTCAAGGGGAATTTTTCCCATTCTTCCCCACAGTCAAGCGGCAAATTTGTAAATCTCGAGGAATAGTGGACAACGGAAATGGATCCCGTTTCCATAAGGATAGCTTCATAGTACTCTCTGGTTTTTACACCATTGGTTGGGTTTAGGTGATTGAGTAGGTATAATGGAGCAAGTTTTATCGGGTCTGTATTGATGTGTTGTTCATCAATAGTAATGTCCATGACGTAAGCTCGTTCAATATATGAAGATCTGGGTATATTAGGTCTTGAAGCAGACTTAGATTGTGCTGGAGAATATATAAAAAGTCAGGTAAGGAGTTTGAAGACCCGGGAAGATGTTCGATGGTGAAATCAAAGGCGGACAGTATAGCCTGCCAGCGAGCAAATATTTGTTTGGAAACTAAATTTTGAACGTCTTTTTGCAAAATATATTTGGCTGCTTTGCAGTCAGTGCGTATAAGAAACTGTTGGTTTAAAATATCTCTTTGGAATTTGGTGACACAATGAACAATGGCTAATAATTCTTTTTTGACCATTGAATAATTTTTCTGTGTGGGATTCCAAGCTTTCGAAGTATACCCGAGTAATTGTTTGATTATTTGTACTGCACAAGTATGAATATTTGTCCATGGTGGAGGATTCTTTTTGAGTCTATCATATAAAGGTTTAAAATCTAAAGTAAGATTTGGATAAAAATCACTAACATAATTAAAGTAAGATTTGGATAAAAATCACAACATAATTCAAGCATCCTAAAAATCGTTGAAGCTCTTTTTTATCAAGTATCTGATCAGGGAATTTATCAGCAAATTGTATTGATCTATCTATAGGAATAATTGTTCCATGATGAATCATATTCCAAGAAACCTAATATTGGTTTTGAATAAAGTAATTTTCTTAGCTGATACGACTAATCCAGCATTTTGAACTGCATGTATAAAGGTATTGATATGTTTAATATGTTGATCTATAGATTCCGAGAAGAACAAATACAAACCCTTTGGTTCAACAAAAAATGCAATCAATACAACATCAAATAGAAACTTCTATATGTAGTGAACATCCCAATGCTTTCTAGGAAAGAAAGAAGCATAGTATTTATTTACCATATGAACAAGGTTTTGATGAAAAACAAATACCTACAAAAGCTAGACCAATACAAATGAATACTACCTTACTTGATATGTGTCGAAAAGAAATCAATGATCTCCAATCAAAGAAATTAATAAGACTAAGCTCCTCACCTTAGAGTTGTGCAGCTTTTTATGTAAATAAAAATGCTGAAAAAGAACGAGGAGTTCCTCGACTGGTTATTTTGTTTCATCATCTACATAAAAATCCCACCATCCTCTTAACTAGCCAGTAAATCCATTTACTATTGCTTTTGCAACCTCTTGATCTGGGTTGCCTGCCATTTTTTTTGCAGAGGCAAACATTGTCATATGTCTCATGACATTTAAAATTTTTAATTCAGATAAACCATCTATTGTCCAATTGACTATTGATCTTCCTGAGTATGATACTACTTGTTGTATAGCATCCTCTTCAAGTTGGATGTCAACAGGTGTAGGTCTTTTATGATATGGAAGGGCAGTAATTGGCTTCCAATTTTTTCCATAGGCTATTCTATTCATATTATCAGGTAGAGTAATAGGCGTGGTATCCATAAATGCATGTTCTTGATTTTGGATAGTATCTTCTATTATTGGTTCTTCTTGGAGCATCATGGTTTCTTGCTCTGGGATTTTAGCTTTGCATTTATCTGAAGATTCCGGTATTGGACTAAGTATGTTAGGTGTAGGAATAGTAAGTTTGGGAGATGGTATTCCTTTAATATCTAGCTGAGCTAGTTTGGCTATTAATTGATCCATTAGGGATTTATTATTGTCTCCAATATGAAATTTATTTTTATTTAATTCTGGAGGTGGTTTGAACAAAACTGCTTTAGGAGGAGAAGGAGTTAGTTTTTCCTTTGACACTAGTCTTTCTATTCTTTCTGCCTGTTTTCCTAAAGATTGCATATACAAATTTGTATAATTATTTTGTTCTACAATATGAGGTATTAACTCTTGTTTTTTACCCAGTTCTTTGGGTAAAACTTTATATGGAGTAGCAATGATATCATATAAAGATTGAGGTGGTTCTCCTTTATTCGATGGAGTGACTCCTTTAAGTATTATACTCTTTTCAGGAGGATGTGTACTAGCAGTAGTAGTTCCATTAGTACTCATATAAGTTTTTTCTTCCAAAGTTTGAATATTCTCAAATGAAGGAATAATAATATTATATTGGATACATATATCTTTTAACCAAATAAAAAATCCTTTTGGTTCTTTTTCTGTTTTAATATATTTGTTATATTTTTTATGCATTAGTTCTATTAATCTTGGCTGAAATGTTTTAAGATACCATTTTCTCATATTGGTATTTTCTTCAGAAAGATAATATTATTTCAAGTGCTTAATTTTACTTTTCTTCTATTTTCTTTCTAATTTAATAGCTAAATAGGCTGCTATATATTCGTCTGTATATGTGTGAATAGGTATTTCTTCTTCTGTATCATCTTCTATTTGTAATGTGAGTATTTGAAATTCTTCTACACTTGGCTCAGGAGTATAGGTAGGGAGAACAACATGATCAGTTGTTCTTCGTATTCCATGGAATTGCAAATCAGAAGAAGGTATTGTTTGAGAAGAAGAAGTTTGAGAAGGAGGAGGAAGTATAATGACATCAGGGGTAGTAGAACAAGATTTTCTACTTGGGATTATTGGTTTTTTATTTCTTTTCCTGTTCACATTTATGTCATCCTGTATTTGTTGGAATTTTATTTCAATATTTCCGTCTGGATGTTCAATAATTTGATTTGGAATATTATGACTTGGTATTTCTTGGGGTTGATTTGCATGTTGCAATGCCCAAGACTGTGGTAACACAATATCTGACCATTTTATTGTTTTAGGTACAATAGTATGGGATTTTTCCATATATGTTTGAAATAATATGGTTTGATGTTTTTTATCCATTCTCATAATATTAGGACAAAGGGTATTCATTACTTTATAACATATTCTGTATACTATAGCTAAATTTTGTGAACCATGTACCATATTGAATCCATGGGTTTTTAGATTGATTGATAGTATATCTAATATATTTGGATCAGTTAAAGAAACTGAAAAATTTGGAAAACAGTTAAAATATATTGGTCCACTACAGAGGCTGGATTCAACCATTTCAAGTAGTGAATCTGTGAAGTTATAGTGTCTTGTATCTCTTAGGCATACAAGCACTGAGGTGTTTAACTCAAGTCAGGTTAAAGGTTTCACGGCTATTTGAATAAGGCCAATGTGTAAATATTTATATTGATTTTCCTTATGTTTTTCAATTACTTTTTTCGAGAGTAGTTGAAAGTCTTCTTGATTCTGCGTAACAGATAAACTTTCTTCTACTGTTTTGATGGCATAACCCATCTTGAATTTGAATGATCCTTTATGATAAATGTTTGTTATTGGTACCTTGGGAATATTCCAATTCTGAATGTGATCTTCAATGTCATTTATTATAATTTGTTCCTTATTTTTCACTCTAAGTGTTTGAGATGAAGTTGCATTCTTACTTGTGAGATTCCTAATTAAATTTGCCATCCGTAGGTTGCGGATAATGACAATCTGGACGATCAAGGGTCCAGCGTGTTCCTCTAAGCGGCTCTTCCTGGCCTTGGCGGGTACTTTGCAATAGACTTCCTTCCGTCTCTTATCTAAACTCTCGGACCAACTTTCTTGGAGTAAATTTAATTCGGTTTCTCTTAGAAAAATGAAACTTTTATCTCTTACAGTATACTGTTTAAGAACAGTATTGCTGTTTTAAGAACGAACAGCAATTGTTATTTGTTACAATTTAACTGTTTGCACAGTTCCACTGTTAGACAGTTCCACTGTATGGCTCTGATACCAAAACGCCCAGGATCTACAGTCCGATCCTATTTATATAATATTTAGAGTATAAGGTAGTGATTATGGATCTAGAGTAATTCTAGAGTAACTATGTAAATATGAGACTATTATATTTCATAAGTTCTTGCAGGATTTTATAATAATTTAAAATGAAGAGAATTATGCAGAGGAGGGGTATGATAGATATATCAATAACAAACCATTGAGCATAATTAAAATCTCCAATTTTTACACTGAACAACATTTTAAATTGCATAATAAAACAACTGTATTGATATTACAAACACTGTATAAACAAGCTACTGTGAAAAGAAACTGTTACAGAGCATTAAGCTGGTAAACAAACTGTTACGGAGCAATAAGCTAAACAAACTAGTGTAATCAAATTAAAACTAAAACAAGATTTAGACTACGAAATCTGGGAAGACTTACTGTGTACAGATACAGTAGCTGGAAAAGAGTTTCTAGTGTTGTGGACAATACGAAGGGAGAGAGTTTATATTGCAGTCACACATGATGTGTTTATAAAAACAGAAAAGTGAAGGATAGAACCTGGTAAGTGACTTATGATGTATGGAGCTATGAAGGTCAGGATAGCTCTGATTGCTGGTGCAGTACTCTGAGACTCATGAGAGAGAGAGGAGTGAAGCAGAGAGAAGCAAAGAGAAGCAGAGAGAAGTAGAGAGAAACAAGAGCAGAGGCTGCGAGTTGTGACCCTGCCTCAACTGAGAAGGGTGAAGCCCTTTTATAATTGAGGGTTGCTTCTTCATGAAGCAAAGAAAAGAGGAAGAGGACAAAAGGGAGGAAGTCGAGTGGGGGACAGGAAAGGAAAAGGATAAAACCTTAAAGGTAAAGGACAAAAATAAAAAGAAAAGAGAGTATCTCTGTACAGTGTTTTCTTTTTGTCTTTTATGCATATGGCTACAGGAACTTGTTTGGATTTTCTGTGACGAGGCATCTTTTGACTATGCTTTCTTTGACGTATTTGTCGGTGGAGATTCTTTTTCTTTTGGCGTGTTCTTCTTCCTTTGGCATATATGTCGGTGGAGACTATTCTTCTTTTGCCCTATATGTCGGTGAGAGCATTTTCTTTATTTGAGGATAGTACCGAGGATCCTTTGGCATATTCTGCTGATGATGGTGATAGCTAGTTGTCAAGGTCTCTGGCTAAATTCATCCGGATCGTCTTCTTCTAGATCTGTTTCGTCATCCGGATCTGCTACAGGAAGGTTCAAGTATTGGTTGGTGTGTATTGGTGACGATTGTACCGTTTCTTCAGAAGAAACTGGTTTTCTTCCGGCTTCAGCAAATATTTCTTTCATTTGTTGCTCTAATGCTTCTTTTGAGGCATTGGGGTTGGACTGGAGCATATTTCTTAAATAGGTTGGAAAATCAAATGAGGTGTTGGCAGTATTTGGGTTTGACTGGTATATAGGTGTTTGCTGAGGTATTCTTTTAGGTGTGATTGTTGTGGGATCCATATTGAATATGTCCCACCATTTTACAGAGATAGTTTTGCCCAATCGAGGAATATAAGAATAATCGGCAGTAGTATTAACTGAGATTGTATAATCCCATTTCATGATCCATGGGATTTGATATAAAGCCATAAAATAGAGGTGAGCATCAATGGTATTATCAATATTATTGTATTCCACGAATTGTTCCTGCACTTTTTTGAAAGCAGGAGGTAAGATTGAAGATGTTGAGCCCCACACTAAGAACCAGTTTTTGAACCATGTGGGGAATCTTTCAAAAATAGGTAGCCGGAACTGTAAGTACCAGCTATGTGTGTTATTTGGATTTTGGTAGTAAAAGAACTTATGCCAGGCCTCAATATATTCGGCATACTTATAGTATTTATAAGAGAAATCTGGGTTGTGCAATTTCTTTCCTTGCGCGGGATTACAACCCCACTCATCATAGGAAAGTAGTTTTTTGATTTGAATATTTGAGCATGCAATGACTCTGGTGTTTTGCTGGTAATAGTGGACAACGGAAATGGATCCTGTTTCCATAAGGATAGCTTCATAGTACTCTCTGGTTTTTACACCATTGGTTGGGTTTAGGTGATTGAGCAGGTATAATGGAGCAAGTTTTATCGGGTCTGTATTGATGTGTTGTTCATCTTTCAAATGATTTGGATTTATAAAAAAGAAAATAAAATTCAAACACTACCAGATATCCATGAAGAAATTACTTAAAATTTTAGGCGTGCGTTCATCAAAAGTAGGTGAATCTTCAAAAATATCAAAAAACTATTTTACATGAAATAACTTGACCAAAATACTCCGTAAATGTTTTGAGGGGTATTTTGGCCATTTTTCTTTTCACGGATAATTTTTTTTATATTTTTATTAGGTGCACCTTGATGAGAAGAACACACACATAAAATTTCAAGTGATTTGGATTTTAGAAAAAAAAAAAAATTCGAACACTACCAGATATCCGTGATCGTCAGATCGGCCCAAATTCAATCTGGATCGTTGGGCTCATATATTCATATGAGCAATGTGTTAATCCCATCTTTTCCCATATATAT